TGATGGTGTTCTGAGGTGGGCCCGACGCCTCTTCGCCACACGCAGCACGGTGAGCAGAAAGAGAAGCCCCAGAACAGCGGACAACATATTTCGGCAGGGCGTTCTCAGAAACCTGAGCAAGCTTGGAAGCATGCCCACTTCTCGCCCAGGGCTGCCACGTCCATGAGAATCATACCAGCTGATTGCGGGCTTCGTTTCTGCAAAGACAGGTGCGCGACACGCCAGCGCAAAATGACGCATTTCAAAAGCGCCGCGCAGGATAAGCGACTCAATGCACGAGTCCGATGGAGACAGGGTCAGCGTAACGGGATACACCACTCTTGACAAATCAAAAACTAATTGCCTCCGGCAACTATCGTGGAAACATGGTAAATTATTTGTCAACCCACCATCAACCACCCGCATTCCACGGAAACGATGCCCGAGCCCAGTGGTGGCAAACATTGGGATGTTCGACGACGCCATGCAGGCCTCCACTAAATCTTCATTTGAATAGAACTCTGAAACGACCAAATTAGATAATCCCATGCCACGCACGACCGTAATCGACAAAAAGACTTGCCCAGAACACTGCCGGATGGAAGGGTCGGCAACATCATCGACTGCATAAACGCACGGTATGCATCCAGCATCTTCCCTTTGCCGCCACATGAACTGCGCGACGACTCGTAGTACGTCTCCAGCCAGTCCAACGCATGCAGACCGCAACACATGAAGACAGCACACCATGCTCCTGCTGAGGCGCCTGCAAAGCGACAAATGTTGACGCCAAGGGATTGCTTCAACTGCTTCAAGACGACATATGCACCGGTGATGTAGTAGCCACGTAGCCCACCACCGGATACTACAACGTCGATATCTTCCCCTGGATTGAACACGCAGTTACTTCGGTTGGCCAGGATATCTCCGACATCGCCACAGACTTCGTCAAGCATTGCCCCCACGAGCCGCCGCTGAGGATTCAGTGACCCATCACCAAGCAAATCCCACCGACTTGGAGCTCCTCTACAAGCAGCTTGCAACTGATCATACGAACCGCCAGAACGTCTTGAAATCATTATTGGGGAAAATCGGTTCACATTGAGCAATCCCTACTGCAGCGAAAGCAGAGCTTGAAATTATCAATGCGTTCGAAACACATGGACAACTGGAGCATGGTTAATGAATGAGGCTGGACCCCAACTAGGACAATCTGTCTTCTGGAAAGACGCCTAGGCATAATACACACAGGATGACATGAAGGTGGGGGTAAGCCCAAGGTACCCCGTCAATGTCCTATGTCAACTCATGCTGCGATACGCCCTACACAACGCAATTCAAAGCTAGACCATCTAATGCAATGGGCTGCAATGCTTTGCCTTGAATGCAAAAAGGCTGTGCAAGGCTATGTAAAACACTTACCCACACTCTCAAGCACCTCGCACGCTACGCAAAGCAAACAAGTTGAAGCAAGGCAGATAAATACACATCACGCCAAAACGAAGCAAGTTCAGGACAAAGCAGCACAATGCGGTGCGACACCGTGCAACGCAATGCATTCCAACCCAAAGCAAGACAGCTGTGTGAAAAAACAACGCAGGGCAGTACACGGCAATGCAGCGCAAAGAACTGGAATGCATTGCAAATCAATGCAATGGAAGGCAATGCGAAGCGACGAAATGCAAACCAACCCAAAGCAGTACTCTGCACAGCAAAACACTGCATTATGGTTTATTTGCAATCGCGTTGCACTACACAGCAATTAAATGCAATACATGTGCGATGGTCATAAAAGACAAAGCAACTCATGGCAATACAAAAAATGCAACGCAAAGCAAAGGAAAGAGTTCAATGCAAGGTAATATTGTGCAAAGCATTGCAAATGCAGTGTGCATGCAAGGCGATGCAAAGCGATACAAAGCAATGCAAAGTTCGAAACCCGAGGAAACCAAGGGTCCGCTCGAGGACCCCGCCAATGAACACAAGAGACAGAGGCTGCAGGGCAATAGTTACGGCTAGCGGGCCTCTTGCTCAAAGCATTTACAGACATAAAGGCAAACCCTACTAGGGGAACAGAGGCTTCCGAGAGCTCCCAGACATCCTCCCTTTCCACCACGCACCAGTTTGGGACAAACCATGACATCGGCTCCGCGCAGATTTGCACGCTGACCAGACCTGACTGGACCCTAAACCTGGCAAGCCGAGCTCGTAGCCAGGTGCTCGGGATTCCAGGACAGGAGGAGGAGGAGGAGGAGGAGGAGGGGGAGAAGGAGGGGGGGGGGGAGGAGGAACAGGAGCAGGAGCAGGAGCAGGAGCAGTAGCAGGAGCAGGAACAGGAGGAGGAGGAGGAGCAGGAGCAGGAACAAGAGGAGGAAGAGGAAGAGGAGGAGGAGGAGGAGGAGGAGGAGGAGGAGGAGGAGGAGGAGGAGGAGGGTATGAGGAGGACGCTCCCAGAAGTCCCCAGGGCCGGGTGCCAGCTCGATCCATGACGCAACCTGGCTGCGCGGAGACGCGGACTCCAAGGACCACTGCACCGGCGGCAGCCGCGAGGGAGACGCAGAGCAAACCCCCTGGTGCCAGAGGGGGGGCAGCGCCCGCGGCCCCGCGCCCCGCCCATGCGAGCTGCGGGGGCCTCCGGGGGGAGACTCCTGCAGCCCGCGACGGGAAGGCGAGAGGTGGGACACGCGGGGGCCCGAGGGCCCGAAGAAGCAGACGACGAGGAAGACGAAGAAACAAGAGTACTAAGAAGAAGAAGAAGAAGAAGCATGAAATCAGATGAAGAATAATAAGAATAAACAAAAACGAGAACCAAGATGACGAGGACGAAGACAGGCGAAGATAAAGAAGAAGATAAAGGAAGAAGAAGAAGAAGAAGAAGACAGAACTGCATGGGCAGAAACTTTCGGAGGCCCGCGCGGAGTTCTTGCATCGGCATCGGATCCCCGCCTCCCCGGCGCGCGGAGCGCGCCAGCGGCGGCGCAGGGGGGACTCCGCCAAGGGGGTCCTGCGACGATGTTTATGTCGCTTTTCTTCCTCGACTCGTGTTGCCCCCCCCCCCCCCCTCCCCCCCTTTTCAACAAGCAAAAAAAACGCAGCGTCGATTTCATCGCAGCAGAGAACTGCAGCTGACAGGCTCTGGGAAAGGCTGGCGCGCCAAGATCGATCGGTGGGGGCCCCGAGGCACAAGATGGAGGAGGGGATGGAGGTGGAGTTGGAGGCGGCGGTGAAGATGCTGGGGGAGGTGGAGGAGGAGGAGGAGGAGGAGGAGGAGGAGGAACAAGGTGGGATGAGGAGGGGTGAGGGAGGAGTAGGAGGGAGGAGGCAGGAGGGAGGAGGGAGGAGGGAGGAGTACGGTCGTAGGAGGGAGGAGGGAGGAGTACGGTCGGAGGAGGGAGGAGGAGGAGGAGGAGGAGGAGGCAGGGCTGATCCCCTCCCCGACCCTCGAGGGGTGGGCCGTGCGGTTTCGCTCTCGCTTCGGCACGGCGCGACCCTGCGGGCAGCTGACCCAGCTCTGAAGTTGGGGCCCGTCGCACTGGCACTGGGAGCGGTGGTGGGCCACACATGCTGAGCATGAAGGGTACGGTCCTGGATCCTGGGGCTTCTCCCCAGGACCAACTCTTCGTCTTGTTAGAATTCTCCGACTGGTAATAACAGGTATCGGCCCGGAACGGCGGCTCATCATCCGTCCCTCGAGACGGCTCTATTGTGCGCGGCTGGCACGGAGAGGCCAGAAAGTCATCATACACTGGCAGCGGTAAACACTGGAACGCCGAACGGTGTAGCAGATACGACGACGACGACGACGACGACGACGACGACGACGACGACGACAACGACGACGACGACGACGACGACGACGACGACGACGACGACGACGACGACGACGACGACGACGACGACGGCGGCGGCGGCGGCGGCGACGACAATCAACGACGACGACGACGACGACAATGGGGAGGGCAAAGCAAGAGAGTGGACAAGTAAGGGATCTATGCTGCAATCCTGGCATTCTGCAACCCTGACCACTGCTGCTTCTGATACAAGCGGTGTAGAGGGCAAGCGCATGAAGCTGTGAGCCACGGGGTGGCCCAGCTCCCTTGAGAACCTGAGGAGCAAGTAGAGAAAGACACGGCATGCGTCACTGCCCTCTCTTTGGGAGCTGCCTCAGATGTCTTTTTTGTTTCTTGCGCAGGCCTCGGGCAATCACACCAGCGTTTTCGGCAGCGGCCGCCGACGGCGACCGCATCTGCCGGTGGCGCGCCTCGAGAATGTCGGAGACGAGAGGGAAGGCCGTAGGAGGAAAGAGAGCACCTTCAAGACCACAAACGATAATCTCTACAGCCGGACCTAGGCCAGAAGAACATCCCTCAAGAACATGAGACCCTCTGTCGGCCAAAACAAACAGAACATCCAAGGGAACCCTCCCCAGGATGCACAAGAACATCCAACAAGCACGAAGAACACTAGGGTACCATCCCCGAACTGACCTCGATCTTATATCTGTAGCAGTCCTCTTTTAAGATGCCAATGCCCAGATGCGATGCCACTAGGCTCGCCGAGATTCACGACAACTCTGCACGAAACCTCGATGCCCAAGTCTCAAGCGAGCCAAAGCCTGTCCTCGGGGGGCATAAGTAAACTAGAGAGTATACCAGAGAAGTGCGTGAGGGCGTCGAATTTCCCAAAACCCTGGAAAAACGAATCCAGACCCGAGATACCGAGTTTTCAGAGAACGTACAAAACAAACTCGGGCCCAGGGTGCCGAATTTCGAAGAAGCCTATAAAGAGAAACCCACCCCCGGGGGTGTTTGTGGAAACTCGGGCGAACAGATCCAGTCCCGAGATGAGGGATTCCGGAAACTCGTAAAAGCCAAACCCGCCCCTGGAAAAAAATCTAACCCGCCCCTGGGGTGTTTGCCTTTTTCGAGGCGGCACGAACTCGCTCACGCGTGGCTTACGCGACATCCTGCAGCAGCCTGCGCGCTGACCCAGGCCGGTGCAGCCCTGGCTTGGCAGGACCCTGCAGGGTGCGGCGCTCTGGCGGACGCCTGCTTGGCACTGGCCCTCGCCTCTACCAGCGGGCCCGCCTGCCCCAGGACCCCTCCCTGCTCACGGCGAGCACGTGCGCCCTCCACATAAACTTAGGTCGGGCATGTCCCCCTACAGGGGGGGACTTTGGGCGAAAAATTAAAGTAGTCAAAAAATACTCCCAAAATAATCAAAAATAGACAAAAGTCCCCGACTATTGTTCTACTATTTTTGAATATTCCTCCTGTAGAGACACAGCGCCCGACTTCTGCATAAACAGAAACTGTTGGCGCCCCGGCGCGGATTCCTTGAATCTGCGCTGGACCCCCCACCCTGGCGCGCGGAGCGCGCCAGGGGCGCGGCGCCGGAGGCGCCGCGGGGGGGTGGGGCCCAGCGCGGGTCCAGGAAGCCCGCGCGGAGCGCCAAAAGTATGTGTTGACAGCATCGTTTCTTCTTCGCTTCTCACAGCGAGCATGTGCGCCAGCTGGGCGGCATCGCCGGGGCTGTGGCCTCGTGGCGCTGCACCCGGGGTCGCAGGCGATGCTGCATGGCCCGTGCGCGCGGGTCGACACTGCCGCCAGCTGGAGCCCCAGAGGGGGTCGTCCAGAGCGAGGTCGCCAGCGCCGTGGCCACGCGACGCTGTGCAGGGTCCCAGGCGAAGGCCCCGCGCCCGTGGCGGTGCTGCGGGGCCCGAGCGTGCGGAGGCAGACGTTGAACAAAGGGGGGACACATCGCCTGCGAAGCGGGGACTTCTGCATATCCACCGCCCGGGGAACCGATTCCCTGGGATCCCCGGGGGGACCCATATCGGCGGCGAGCCTGAGGGGGGAGTGAGAAGGGCGGGCCTTCTCGGAGGCCTCGGAACTCCCCCAGCCTTCTGAGAGGTCTTCCGAGCCCTCCCCGAAGACACAGAAAACTTCTCAGAGGGCGCGAGGGCTTCTGAGAACCCCCGCCGCCTTCTGAGACTTCCCCCCCTCGCTCGCCGCCGAATTGGTTTTTTGGGTCATACCTCGGGTCTGCGGCGGGCGTTCGGGACGATCTGGGCAACCCCAGAACGCCCGCGGCGAGGCGCAGCTGCCGGCAAGCATCCCGAGGCTGGAAAACCGTCGAGAACCGACGGAAAACCTCGAACCTCGAACCTCGAGCCCGAAATTTCTAAGAAGGCGCGAAGGCTTCTGAGAAGTCACACCGCCTTCTGAGAAGCCCTTCTCCTTCTCGCTTCCCCCCCTCGCTCGCCGCCGACCATGTACACCGCCTGCCGAGGTCCAGGATGGGTGTCCCAGACGGTGAATACAGTGGACACATGTGAGAAGAAACCCTGCCGTAAGCGAGCTCTTCCTCCCTCTCCTCCTCCTCCCCCTCCTCCTCCTCCTCCTCCTCCTCCTCCTCATCCTCCTCCTCCCCCTCCTCCTCCTCCTCGAGTCGTTCTAGTCGAGCTCTGGCCTTCCCTGAGGTGCCCCAGGGCGTCTGTGGGCCCGAGGGCCTTCGGGGGATAAGAAGCTTCCGTGGGGCACCTGCTGGCAGGACGTTCTTGTTGAAAAAGAGCGCTCGTAGCGCACTTCTCACTGAAGGGTGTGCCCCAGCTTCAAGCTACCCCCCCTCCCCCCTTTGTGGGCAGTCTTTAGCCGGAATGGACTGGAATGGAATGGAATGGAATGGAATGGAATGGAATGGAATGGAATGGAATGGAATGGAATGGAATGGAATGGAAGTCTGCGTGTCAGCTCCGGTAGCCGGAGCGATCCCCTAGAGGGCAGACCGTGCGCTGAGCTGGGGGGCTAGCTGAAAGGAGAGGGGCGTGGAAGCTACCCCCCCCCCTTTTCGGGGCCCAGGGTAAACCCAGGCTGGGTTCCCTTTCCAAAGGGGTGGGGGCTTCCGAAGCTACCCCCCCTCCCCTCCTTCTGTTGGCTGAAGGGGGGTTCGAAGATACTGTTTTTCATTGGTTTTCGGCGCCCCGTTGGTTTGCGGCGTACTCCCAGTGTTCGATGTATATTTTGTTTTCGGCGCCTCTTTGGCTCATGCGGTTTTCGGCGCTCCTTTGGTTTTCGACGCCCGTTTTGGTTTTCTGCGCACAATGTATGGTTTTCGGCGCATCGTTGGTTTTCGGCGCCCTCTTGGGCTCTTTTGTTTTCGGCGCCCTCTTGGTTTTCGGCACCCTTTTAGTTTTCGGCACCCCTTTAATTTTCGGAGCCGGTTTGCGGCGCTCTTTGGTTATCGGCGTCCCTTTGGTTTGGACGCCCTTCTGCTATCTGCGCGCCTTTCGTGTTTGCCGCCCTTTGGTTTTCGACGCCCTTTTGGTCTTGCTTATTCGGCACTCTTTGGCTTTCGGCTCAAAGTTGGTTTTCGGCGCTCCTTTGTTTTTCGGCGCTCCTTTGGTTTTCGGCGCCCCGTTGTTTTCCGGCGTTCCTACGGCTTTCAGCGCCCTTTTGGTTTACGGTGTTGTTTGTTTTCTGCGCCCTGTCCGTCTTCGGAGCTTCTGCTGCTTTCGGCGCCCCTTTCGCTTTCAGCCACTTTGTGGTTATCGGCGCCACCATGATTTTGTTCGGCGCCCTTTTGGTGTTCGGCGCATCGTTGGGTCTCGGCGCTCCTTTGGTTTTCAGCGTTTCTTTCGGTTTTCGGCGTCCCTTGGTGTTCGGCGCCCCTTTGATTTCTGGCGCCCTCTTAGCTTTCGGTTCTCCTTTGGTGTTCGGTCTCATGTTGGTTTTCGGTGTCCTTTCGCCTTCCTGCGCATATTTGGTTTGGGCGTACCTATTTGCGTTCGGCGCTTTGTTGGTTTTCGCCCTCTTTTTGATTTTCTGCACCCCCTTGGTCTTCGGCGCTCCTTTGGTTTTCGGCGCCCTCTCGGTTTTCGGCGCCCCTTGGGTTTTCGGCGCTCCTTTGGTTTTTCAGCGCCGTTTGGGTTTTCGGTGCCCTTTTGGTTTTCGGCGCTCCTTTGGTTTTCGGCTGTGTCTTGTTTTTCGGTGCCATCTTGGTGTTTGGCAACCCCTTGGTTGCCAGAACTCGACTGATTTTCATCGGCCATGTGGTTTCTGGTGTCCTTTAAGAGTTCGACGACCCTCTGGTTTTTAGGGCCCATTTGGGTTTGGGTGCATTTTGGTTTTCGGCGCCCCTTTGGTGTTCGGCGCCCCATTGGTTTTCGGCGCTCTTTTCGTTTTCGGCGTCTCTTCGGTTTTCGGCGCCCCGCTGGTTTTCGGAGTTCTTTTGTATTGTTGTCGGCGCTTTTTGGTTTTCGGCGCCCCTTTGCTTCTCGGCGCTCTTTTGGTTTTCGGCGCTCCTTTAGTTTTCGGCCCCCTTTTGGTTGTCGGCGCGCTTTTGGTTTTCAGCGCCCTTTCGGTTTTCGGCGCTCCTTTGGATTTCGGTGCTCCTTTGGATTTCGGTGTATATTTGGTTTTCGGCGCCCCTTTGCTTCTCGGTGGCCTCTCGGTTTTCGGCATTTCTTTGGTTTTCGGCGCCCTCTGGTTAGCGTGCCCTTTCCGGTTTTCGGTGGCTCAATGGTTTTCGGCGCTCTTCTGAGGTTTTCGGCACTCTTTTGGTATTCGGCGCTCCTTCCTTTGGCCAAGCCCAAAAGGGGTGGGGGGGGGGGGGCTTCTGGCAGGGGAGGTTCAAAGGGGGGGGGTAGCTCAGCCCCCCCCTTTGGTCCTTTGGTAAGGGAGGGGGGGTTAGCTTCCAGAGCGCGAAGGGGAGGAAGGGTGGGGGGGGTGCTTCCGGCAGGGGAGCTTCGAGGGGGGGGGGTAGCTAAGCCCCCCCACCTTTGGAAAGGGAGGGCGAGGGGGGGCAGCTTCCGGAGCGCGACAGGGAGGGGGGGGGCGGGCGTAGCCTCCGAGGGGCGGAAAAAAAGGAGGGGGGGGGGGGGGCTTCCGGCAGGGCAGGGTCCAAGGGGAGGGGGGCAGCTAAGGGGGGACCCCCTTCCCCTTGTGGGAGAGCGCCACGGGCGCACTCTCCCTCCCTCTCTCTCTCTCTCTCTCTCTCTTTTGTGCGGTGCGGCACTTTTGCTTGGCGTGTCGCGGCGGTGGCCCTGGCGACACGCCATGCCCTGCGAGCGGATGCCGCGTCGCTCCGCTGCGCGGGGCGGGAGGTCCGAAAAAGCTCGGGACGTTGACGCTTGGGAATGGGGGCGTGGACAGCGTGTCGAGCCGAAGAGTGGTGCGCCAGGGCTGGCGGAGCAACACGCTAAGCCATTGTTCCCGACCTTCGCTGGTGCACGTGCGATGACACAAGCATGACCTTTTGGAGGTGCGCGCAGACTTCTTGGATCGGCGCCGGGCTCCCCTGGCGGCGCCGCCCCGAGCTCCAAGATCAGGCGGACCTCCGAAAGTTTATGTTTATGTCATCGCTTGTGCCCCGACGTGCAGTCGGACCCAGGCCAGAACAACATTCCTCAAGAACATGGGACCCTCCGTCGGCCAAAACAAACAGAACATCCAAGGATACCCTCCCCAGGATGCACAAGAGCATCAAACAAACACGAAGACTACGAAGGTAGCCTCCCCGAGCCGACCTCGATCTGATCGAAACGCTCGAGGAGCGAGGCCCCTTTTCTCGATGAATTAGACTTCGAACTCCGCAGAAAACCAAAGGAATATCTGAGACTAACGGTAAAACAATGAAGGAAGCCTGAGCCCCTCCCCAAGGAAAAGCGTTCCTTCTTGGAGGCCTGGAAATGGGCACCAACACCAAGACAGGGGGTTGCCTCCACAGGGGGAAGCTGATCCTAGATTTCGGTGTTGGTGGTAATACTTTGGCCACCTCGGAAGCCAGAATATGACCACCATCGCCGAGATCGGGATCGTCCTCCCTCGGTGGAGGCACACCGCCGATACTGGTGTTGGTGTCAACCTCTAGGCCTGCGACCTTCTTCAGCGGCCCGACTGTATGGACAACCCCGGGTCGAGCACGGAGCGCTGGCCGCCAGGGCGGCAGCGGGCAGCGCGCGGGGCTGTCACGTCCCGACCTCGCGGGCCAGCTTGCCGCCCTCTCGGCGAGGAGCACCAGCCTCGGGGGGGGGGGGCGGGGGAAATAACCAGCCTCGGACGTCCGGCGACGTCCGACGTCCGACGACGACGACGACGTCCGAGTCCGACGACGACGACGAAGACGACGACAACAACAACGACGACGTCCGACGACGACGACGACGACGACGACGACGACATAAGGGCTTTGGAAGGCCTTTCGAAGCTTCAAGAGCGGGGCGCGGCAAACGAAAGTGGCCAAGGATGGGCCGAGGTTGCAAGGATGCAAGGGTACCCTTGGGAATGTTGCCCATCCTTCCCATGCGGGTTGACTGCATAGCCCTAGTCATCACCCCCCTCTTGGACGCCCACGAATCTGAGTGGACCCATCGCATCGAAGAGGACTCCGAGACGCAGCACGTCGCCGCACGTCGCCGCCGTCGTCGCCGTCGTCGGGGTCGTCGGGGTCGTCGTGGCCGTCGTTGCCGTCGTCCTCGTTATCCTCGTCGTCGCTGCCGTCGTCTTCGTCGTCGTCGTCGCCGCCGCACGTCGCCGCACGTGGGTCTGTCGCCCTCCCGGCGCGGGGCCCCTGGACGCCCCCAGCGCCGCGCGCGTCCCCCGCCCCGGCCCCGTGCGGCGCACGCCCCCTCTCCGCCTGCCGCCTGCCGCCCCAGACGCACTGCACACCCCCTGGGGGCCCGGGGCCCTGCTCCTCCTCCTCCTCCTCCTCCTCCTCCTCCTCCTTCTCCTCTTCTTCTTTTTCTTATCTTGTTTGTGTTATTCCTCTTCTTCTTATTCTTACTATTATTATTAATAGTAGTAGTAGTAGTAGTAGTAGTAGTAGTAGTAGTAGTAGTAGTAGTAGTAGTAGTAGTAGTAGTAGTAGTAGTAGTAGTAGTAGTAGTAGTAGTAGTAGTAGTAGTAGTAGTAGTAGTAGTAGTAGTACTCGTCGTCGTCGTCGTCGTCGTCGTCGTCGTCGTCGTCGTCGTCGTCGTCGTCGTCGTCGTCGTCGTAGTAGTAGTCATAGTCGCAGTGTAGTAGTAGTTGTTGTTGTAGTAGTAGTAGTAGTAGTAGTAGTAGAAGAGTAGTAGTAGTAGTAGTAGTAGTAGTAGTAGTAGTAGTAGGCGGAGTCGTAGTCGTAGTCGTAGTCGTAGTAGTCGCGTAGTAGTAGTAGCAGTAGTAGTAGTAGTAGTAGTAGTAGTAGTAGTAGTAGTAGTAGTAGTAGTAGTAGTAGTAGTAGTAGTAGTAGTAGTAGTAGTAGTAGTAGTAGTAGTAGTAGTAGTAGTAGTAGTAGTAGTAGTAGTAGTAGTAGTAGTAGTAGTAGTAGAATAGTAGTAGTAGTAGTAGTAGTAGTAGTAGTAGTAGTAGTAGTAGTAGTAGTAGTAGTAGTAGTAGTAGTAGTAGTAGTAGTAGTAGTAGTAGTAGTAGTAGTAGTAGTAGTAGTAGTAGTAGTAGTATCATAATTAGCACTGTTACTATTAGTACGATTAGTTTTAGCATTATCATTATTAGTATTAGTATTAGTGTTAGTATTAGTATTAGTATTAGTATTAGGCGGTGGTGCAGCTGGGCCCGTTCACGAGGCTGCCCATACGCGCCATCTATGGGCCTTTGCCTTACCTCATCCAGACCGTGGAGCATGCTGCACGATACGCGATTCAGCTTGGACTTGATGCTCACCCCGACCACCTGGAGTTCGTCACGGACCTCAAGTCTCTGGTCTCTGAGGGCACATCTTGGAGCCCTGTACGTCCTCGAGGGCGAGCCAAGCATGCGCGAGTATGGCGGGACATGTTCGATGCTACGAGGGGTCGGTCCATATCGAGCACCCCTGCGTTTCGCTGGACCCTGGCGCATCGTGACGCCAGCGCGCTGCTGGAGGCGGACACCCAGAGCACTCAAGACTGGATCGGTAACTCATGGGCAGACTACTTTGCAAAAGTAGGGGCGGCGCAGCATGCTGTGGCGCACGTCCTGGCGGAATCAATTACGGCGGCCATGAAACAGCACCGCCGGGTGCTACAGTATATCTCATACGCGTGTTTGCGCGTCGTGCACTTTACGCGCTATGGGATGGATCATGTACCTCCGCGGCCTCTCCACCAGCATGCCGCCCCAGTAGTCTTTGGACGACCAGATGATCATGATCTCTGGGTGTGCACTGAGACTGGCCAGTACCGCTGCCGACGGTGCAACGCGACGGCCAACACCAGGACGTCGCTGGCCACACTCACCGATCAGGCTCATTGCGAAGACGCTGCCCAACCAGGGTGGTGCGCGCGATGGCGGACGCGTTCTTCAATCAGACGCGCCGCACATGGGGAACAGCCGGTGATGAGAGGATAGCGGCGCTCCTGGAGTCGCTCCCTGCACCTCCACCTGACCATCCTGCTCACGAAGAGGCGCCGTATGGGGACCCAGTACCCCAGCGGGACCCTTCGCCGCCGATGGGGGAAGTACGTCGTCCGCCTCCTGATGCTGATCCGCTGGTGCAGGCCTTCGCTGCACTTGGACACGACGTTTTCCTTCACGCTGGGGTAG